CCCAAGCCACTGCTAGTGGGAAAGAGGGTTTTGTTAACGGCCTTGTCGACGGTTTTTCTCAGTTTTTTCTCCACTGTCGTTCCACTTCGCATCTCTATACTCAGTTTCAATCGCCATAATACCCCCTTATTGAGCCCGACTTTTGCCTTTAAAATACAGGTTGTCTCGCTTAGATCCACTATACTCACAACTTCGTGTTAGATAAATGATATCACCTCGACTGGATCGCTTGTTTAACTTTGAGGATTTATCTTGAAAATGTTGTTGTGCTCCGAGAAATGTACTGTGTTTATATGCAATCATCTAACCATTGACATCACACTTTGCCTTGCATCAACAAGTGAAAGAGGGACCAAAGCATTCTGCTTGCTTCTAATAATATGTACTAATGACTCGGCACTACAAACCCGTTCCTGTTGGAAAATTTTTTATCCCTTATTATGTTACGCGTCTCAAGCACACATCACATCACTTGTTGCTGCTATACTGGATTCTCTTGTCAGAAAACATTAGCATGAAGTGATTCCACCCAGGAGTCACTGTGGCATCCGTGGTAGTGTTTGTCTTGCTGTTGAATGTGAACATGACGGCAGCCTTTGCTCTAGTCAATAACATAAAAGCATGGAAATGGACGTGATCGTTTTGTCCATTTGTATATTTTTTCTCAGCAGCTACGTCATTATAAGTACAAGCCAGTAATGTGGTGTATCTCTTTGTATGACCTGTCGTTGTGCCTCTTTGCCCGTCATTGTCGATTCATGAAGGTTGATGTGATCAAATATTACTAGGTAAAAGTTAGTCTCATAGCAAGATTCGTAGCAAACTGTAAAACTAACTTAGCAATTACAAATCAAATATGCAGGCAGGAGAAGCTTTGACAATTGTTCAAGGACAGAAAATGGTATTATGACACAACGAGAATGTTTGACTGTGCTGCCTAGTAAAACTGTAGGTTTTCGAGCATAGATCAAATTTGGCTTGCCGCAAAAGTTTTGCGCTCTTCGGGTTAAGTTAGTGGGGAATATTGGTGGAAAGGAATCAAAGGCACGTGAGGATGAATAGACTGAGTCAACAGTTCGTATTTACCTGTGGGTTTCACATGATATTTACCTATATTAATCATGCTGCAATACCAAGGAGTTGGGGTGTCAGGTCGGCAGACTTCCGTATGTACGGTCACTGCAACACAGCATGTTCTTCTTCTGCGCACGGCTTACCCTTGAGGTATTTTCTTATAAGTGAAACGCAATATTATTTGACACTGTACTTATCGAGAAATTCAAAAAAAACTGGAACTAATGCTAAAGCTTTATTAGGGAGGGCGTGGACCCATTGCTGGTCGTGACCCCCGCTTCAAATTCGTGACATTCCTTGGACAAATACAGTGATAATAGGACGTAAGTGCTCTAGTGTAGAACAAAACGAGAACAAAACGATAATCACGCTAGAAACTCACTGTGAAAACATGTGTTGTAGCAATAGGTACAGTGGGGGAGTTATCCGTAGTTCCTTATTGAAAAGATTTGACAGGACAACGTTTTCGCTACAAATTCAAGGAAACATTATTTGTGGGGTGGCATTTTAATTACAAAGAGATCCCTGAACTCCAGTCATGTTGCCTTTTTTGTCTGCTGTCTTGTGGTTTTTTTACTGACATTTAGATTGTAGAGCGAGACTTTCCATCTGCGGTAGTTACAAAGACAGTTGTTGTTGATGACAATCGTGGCTTGTCCAAGCCAATCAGGCGGAAAAGTAAACGACGATAGTCTTTCATGTAGATTATAACAATGGTGGCAGAGAAAAACGGATATCCAGACATAAGAATTTCGCAACAGACGCTCATCGCTGGAGGAGCATCCCATCCAATAAATAATACTAAAAACATTGCCAGCAGTGGCACATGTAGAAGTAGAACAGGACAAGCTGTCTGAAATTTTCGCATTTAATTTTTAGTAACGATTCGGGTTTTGAATGAATTCAATAATAAAGCAGCCACGAAACTTTCCGACACTTGCGGTCCAATATATACAGGGGGGCGGGCCAAAAAGACATTTTGCCTCCACTTCCAGATGGATTTAAGCACATTTTACTCAACTCAGACCGAACGGTTCCAACTTATTATTAAAGAGTGCATTCCATTCTATAAGAAAATCTTCATAGTGGCCACGTACGTGGACGGCATCAGAAGAATTAGCCCTGGAAACATGGTGCACTGGTCGATCTCAATGGGGTCTTCGAAGGATCGTGTACCATAACGACCCTTACTGGAAAGCTAGTTCCGAGGGGATTTGCACAGTGGTAGCTAATGCCTCTAGAAAACTATCCAACATTAAATCGATTCACGAAATTGCGTAAGAGCTTCAGGCTGAAGCTCTTACGGTAGACCTCCTTGAGCCTGACGACGGTGACAGATGACGTCATATTCTGAAGACGGTGAGGGCAGTGAAGGAGAGCCTGCGTACACTAATAGAGGAACACTTAGGGAATACTCTGCTGAGGAACTCCCGTCAACGACAGCAATCTCTGCGAAGAAAAAAGAGCCGAAGTCCGACATAGGCAAAATGTCTTTTTTTTTGGCCCCCCCTGTATATGCGGCCACAATTCAAAAACCTTGGAATGCCGGAAGAGAAAAAAAAGATAAAAAAAACTTTCTCAGATTAAATTGCTCACACTTCAATGTAAATTTTTTGCTGAAAAGCCACTCCTGAAAATGGTATTGAAAGCCAATTGTGCAGGGCGTTGGCAAAGGAAATAAAAAGAGAATAATGTAAAGATGAAGATTCTGGTACAGCTTGAATGATATCATTGAACCGGAAGATGGCTACGTGAAGACGCGTACACTTCTAAGTTTCGTGAGTACTTACTGGTTGTTATCACAAACACAAAACTGTATCTTTGAACTTTTTCCTTCAAGCGTTCTAATGAAAAGGTAGTAGGCAGTGTCTAGAGGAACACTCATAGAGTTTCTGAGAATTGCAGGGAAAGATGAATCCACAAACTTTCGTACCTGTACTAGTAAGACTATGAAGAAAGTCTTCTGTATTCTCTTCGTTTGATCGCTGACAGAATTACTCTTTAAATACAAGTGAACTCGTAGAGCACAACAAAATGCAGTTCCGGCCAGCACTAATAGCAAAACCAGCGACTCCACCAAAAAAGCAAAGTCGCCTGCGGGTAACAACTAAACATTCACACAGAAGTTTGTTGTCACTGTCAGTTTATTGTCACAAAACTCGTCACACCACTAACGACACAAAACGAAACTACAATTGTCAGTGCTTGTGCTACTGTGTCAGGAAAAAATGTCGCCTTGTGGCTACCATCTGGTCTACTCTTAGTACACACTAATGGAGTAGTCTCCAGCTTCTCTCTTCACGTAACCTTCTTCATTGTTTGTTCTTATTTGTGTTTGTTTCTTCTGCCTTTCGAGGTTGATAGGTGGAACATTCATTCAATCGGCCTAACGTTTCGACAAAATCGTCGTCTTCTGAGGCCTAAACGCGGTTCAAGTTCAAAATTCAACGGTGTGTCTTCTTTCTTACTAACCGACGCTTTTGTATAGAAATGGGATTCTCGCACAAATGCTGGAACCTTGGGTGAATTCAAAATTCGTTTTGCTTATGTTTCTCGTTAGAAAGTCAGAACCACTAGAGAAGAGCCGCTTGGTGGATTAAATCGGTAATGAATGTTCCACCTATCAACCACGAACGGTAGAAGAAACAAACACAAATAGGAACCATTAGGAGTTCAATATACTAAAGCACATACTTTGATTGAATAACCGACAAATGCTTGATTGCCGAGCTTGAAACCGAAATTGATCATCATGTAGTGTCGCAGATATATTACAAATGCAGGAGTAGGCCAGCCGGTGAAGTATACCATAAGGACCCAATTCAAAATAACAGCGACGTTAATGAGTTTCAAAAATGTCATGTGTTTTGCCGACGTGTAAATAAAAAACAAATGCGGCCTGAAAGAGACGATCAGCTCAATCTACTACAACTCTTCATGGATAATTTTTGATTCATCGCACAGGCTATACACGAAAAGTTCAAATTTTTTTGTTTTCAGAAATCTCTTATCATATAGTTAAGTTGTCAAATCGTTTGGAAAAGCGCCTAATGAAAATAAATAAATAACAGTCATCAATTGTTAATTCTAACCTGCACAATTGAATATACCTATAAATAAAGCTCTTTGTAGAATATACCAAGGTTGAGATGAGCGTCGCATTATAAACCAAGATAAGTTCCGGTGCCAAAAGCCATTGCGAGCCTTTACCAGTCGCAAGAAACACATACATGTGGTCACGCACTATCATTCTCTTGAAAGTTTCAAATTAGTAGTGGAAAGACGTCGAACTTACTTATTTCACAAACAAGGCGTGTGTTATTGTCTGAATTACACACAAATTCCTCAATATTTCAGCGTGACACAGTTGATCCCATTACTCGATCACCTTCACGCCCTTATAGAGTGAGACTAACAGCACTAATGTATGCATGATACTATGTGTATGCATGATATTATATGAAGATTCGGAGTAGAGGACACGAGTACGGCTTCAATCTTTTTATCCAAATCGTAGAATGTGAAAGTTAGTGTATTAGTTTTTTTCAAATGCACTGTCATTCTTTCCAAATGTTCCGTTCATCCCTGAATTCCTATGTTTTTACGAAGCCTCGTGCATCTTTGGGTGGGTACTTTCCCGTTCTGATTTTTAGGTCAGACATTCGCTATAAATAGGTTGAAATTCAGGCTTGCAACCTATAGTACCTTCATTAACGTGACCACCGATTCACGTGTGTAGCCCACATCTCACTTCGGCCGAGCGTACTCGCAAGCAGCAAAAAGGGTTAATAACGAGCCACAAAATTCAAAAAAAAACAACTATTGATGAACAAGCTGAGTAAAAAAACCTACTGGTATCAAAAGCAAATAGCATACTACCATTATGGTATTTTGAATCGAAATAAAAGTAAAGTAGAATTTTGCCAGCTTCATAGCACTCAGAGGACATTTTCAGACTACGAATAGCAGCAAAAGATTTGGTGATGATACCCATGCAGCAAATGCATTCCACAATTACTGTGTAGATGAGATCCATGCTGGCTCTGAATGAAACTTCGTAGCTCTACTTGAAAGTAGCGGAATATGGAGATCTAACACTGTCGCGTTATAATGACCTTATCATTTTGAAGATATCGCGTCAATTCATGCGTGAAAGTTGGCGTAGCCTATGACAGCCGTACCCAACGGTTGTGTCAGAAGGGTCGCATCCCTCAAAGTTACCCGAATTTTTAACTCCACAGAGAGGTCATTGCGGGATCATTTGCTGAGTTTTTCGCAGATTATAGACTACATTTCTTTCTACCTACTGAAGTTTTTTGGCAGTTATAATATGTTTTTGTCCACCTTTTTTTATAGCCCGGCAACTCATTCTTGTGTTCTCTTAACCTTTTGACTATCAGCGACATTGCGAATCCCGGCTCCAAGTTTAGTTTAACAGTCTTTTTATATATCGATTGCTGCTGAGAGTGAGATGTGAGCTTGGAAAACTGTTGCTGCAAACACTGCGAAGGAGCACAATTCCACGAAGACTCAGTCGAGCAGACACATGCTCTCTGAAGTCTCCTGCAGGGTGTTGCATGTGATCTTTGTCAGTTTTCGTCTAGACCGAATGCTGGCTTTACGCTATAAAACGAAGCGTATATGCCTATCAGTAAAATAAAGCCTGCAGTCGTTGTTCTTCTTCCAGAAAAGCAAATCTTTTGGAGCTATCACTTTTTATCCGCACCACCACCCAGCGACAGCCATAGGACATGCATCAGTAATCACTCCAGCTTAAGTACGACTTAAAAGCTAGGGTCAAGATCAAGCTGGGGAAAAGTACGGTGCTACAAAATGTCAGCAGAGATTGATTTGTAACTGAAAAAGACGTGAAGAAACCATTAAAACCCGGAAACAAACTCCACTTTAATCAGCGGCGGACAGCCTTCATGTTGCACTTCCGAACGCCTCTCCTCAATATCCTCTCCGTTAATGTTTGTTGCTTCGAATGTATGAGTCGTGCTTGATGGAGGTATGCAGTTTTGCGAATAAAAACATAGTGCATGTCATGGCTATGCCCATCTCTAGCGGTGGGACGTTATGCTTGATCCAGGCTGCGACCAGCTCAGGCAAATGAGGGGACAAAAAGCGGATTATTTTATGGCGCTCGGAATCACGACCTGATCACTTTACAGCTGGAATAATAATATAAGCCGCTTAATGGATAGTCAGAAATCGCGCAAATTTCACTTTCGGCTTGACACCATAGGGATTTGCTATTTAGTTTTTTAGAAGGGTCACTGTACAGCCACTAAACAATTAGAGAGCTCATGGGCAAAAAAATTAAAGAGGGTAGAAACCGCTTCAATATTCTTCTCTTGATTTCTGCGAATAACCGAATAATAGAAGTTTTTCCCCGTTGCCTCCGGACCACGCTCAATATTTTTGTCTAGAGCACAAGAGGACTCGACTTACGAAATGCGAATAGTAGAAATTGATGAATTTCTCAAAATGCGGCTCTTATAGAGCTAAACAGGGCAGAACCTTATTTAGTGTCAAATACGGTGGGATCCTTGACAAAAATGGCGGAAACTGTGTGGTAACCTTCTCAGTTTCCCTGCAATGTCGCTATTGCACAATCTCAGCTGTGTTTTTGCGATGTGTCTTCTTTTCCTGACTTGTGCTCTTCCCTGAGACGTACTAGAAGTCACAAAAGCAATAAATTTTGAGCAAAAAGCAAATGGAAGGCGACAAGGAGAATGGCGGCTGTTCCACTTCAGCGAATAACCGAAGCGACCGAAGCAACCGAAGCGAGTTGTGAATCTGTTCTCTTTTCATATTGTATTTGGTGTTGACATGCAAATGCGCAGTTACATTATCGAGAGTTTCTGAAGAATTTAAAAGAAGCAGAATCGTAGGCAAATAGGACCAGCAGTGTAAATTGGCGAATGACAAATAAGTCGCTGAAGGAAACATGAATAAATGAGAATCAGGAAATGTGTGAAATGGCTAAAAGTTTCTCTCATTACTGCTGACCACGTGCAACAAAAAGGTGTCATGGTTTTGGAACGAACCGTTCAATGCAT